CTTCGGAACTGTCTAGACTCCTATTCTACAGGTCTACAGTTCGATTCCTTTTTACCCTGTGACCTACAAAACCCTGCCTACCACTGGCGGTCCTACAGGTCGCGGGTTCAAATCTACGGGTTGACATCCATACTGTACACAGGTAAGTTGGGGAACTAGGGATCGAGCCCTGGGATCTGTCTCAACTACCACGAATTGGTGAATACCGTTTCAATTATGTTGTGTAGCACTGACAGCAGCAAGATTTGGCACATCCATAACCAGAGGGTTTCTGGCGGTAAACCACATCTCACATCCTTTTCGATTCCGTTTGACGGTGTGTCATCAGAACAGCTGGGTGCCCAGGTGGACGTACTAAGAATTTCTCCGCTGGATAAAGTATTCAAGTCTGTATGGTACAATCAGTTTTTCCAATCAAGTGTCATTGTTTCCAATCGAGTGTGAGCACGCGGAGGTGATTGAAGTTTTCGTTAAGTATAACAATTCTATTACTGCTGTGGATAATTTTCATCCATTAGTCTTACAGAGTCTGAGCCATGAGTTTGAACCGTTAGTACACCTGGAGGATGCATTGTGAAGTAGTTCTGGGAGTCTTGTTAAGGTCAGTGCGACCTGAAACTGAACTATGCAGTGCGCAGTGTGAACCGGACTTAAACCACCAGTACATGCCATACATGCCATACATTGGTCGCGGGCCCCTTTCGGAGGCCGCCCGCCGTCGATGTATTTTATCAACGGCGCGCCAGCCCCCGAAGGTTAGCAGAGGCTCAATCGCCTCTTCTTCCCGATGCAGATCTCAGCCGCACGCCAAGTTTTGTCCAACCAGCACGGTGCAAAATAGAAGAAAAAATGGAAGGTGCCGCTAGCCATGCTGTCGTTCTGCTAGGCCGAGGCCCGAACGACATGGAGCATTAAAAATATGGCCTTGTCCAAACAAAATGGCTGTGAAAGATATTGGTTGCTTAATTGTGCCGGCTGGGGTATGAACTTCAAACTTTAAAGTGTGGAGTTGTAAACCAGTAGCTAATTCGAGTGACCATGCATCATGCATGACATGATTCTTGGAGACCAGTTCAGGTCAATGGGATATATAGCTAGGGAGATATCCCGGGCACCTGGGTCCTGACGTCACGCCCGGTTTGGCAACCGGGTGACCGACCGGGCATGGGCCCGGGCAGCTCCAGCGCAAAAAAAAAAAAAAAAAAAAAAAAAAGGCTCCAAAAAAATCTGGAAAAAAAAAACAATTTTGTGTAGAATTGCAA